CCATCCGCCTCGACCCCACCTGCCTCGCCAGCCAACCCCACCCCCAAGGAGTCCATCCGCCTCGCCATCAAAGCCAACCCTACCCCAAGGAGTCCATTCATCTCGCTTGCCCCAACCAAAATGCACACACCTCACACCACCAATGGCCAAAACTCACCTGTTGGGCCAACTCTCGGGTTGGGGCCAGGACCAGGGCTTGTGTGGCCTTCATGTCCAACTCAATTTGCTGGAGGATGGAAATGGCAAATGTGGCGGTTTTCCCAGTTCCAGACTGAGCCTGAGCAATGACATCATAACCTGCAGAGAGAGGACAAGCTTACAATGGGCTGCAATAGAGCACGCAGGCCCCTGGATAGGTCTTCAGGGTCCCTATTAGATCCAATGAGCTGTGTGACGCACAAGGGAACCGAATCCCAAGTAGATCCCATTCCCCGATAAGAGCGGACGCTCGGCACTCACCCTTGATACAAGGTAGAATAGCTCGCTGCTGGATGGCAGACGGTTTCTCAAAACCATAGGCGTAGATCCCTCTCAGGAGAGACTCCGACAGGTTCATATCGTCAAAACTGTCCACCACTTCATTCCAGTTGCTCTGTGGAGAAGACGAGGATGAAGGTTTAGCGGGCAGTCACTATAATCTGGACTCTTAGAAGCCCATTCCAAATACATACATAAGCTACAACCCCCATAATGCACCGTGACCCGCACCACCAACTCAACACCCAACACTAGTAAAATCAGATCCAATACCAACGAGCCCCACCTCCCTTTATAGGAAGTCATGGCCCATGTGTCATGGAGGGTTACAGGCTCCGTGTCACCTCACAATGAGCCGCCTGTGCGGTATGGAACTCCAGGAAGGTCCTAATTATGACCTGTGCGTCCCGAGTTATGTTAGAACATAATTGTTACATTTTGGGGGCTTCCAAAAACCAATACGAGTAGAAGACGAGACCACCACAAGGCCAACTTACCTCAATAATACCATCGGGCTCCATGCCTTCGGGCCCATTGTCTCTGGATCTGGAATGAAGGAACAAAAGCACTTGTTAATGAAGTACACAGGAACCTCAATCTTCATTCAGAAGTCTCCACTATGAATCTCTGAAGCCTTTGGAGGAACCCGGGGCAAAACACACGAGCAGAAATTTACCAGGAGCCCACAACCACCCCGGGGTCTGGACTGACCATGGACGGACCTTAAGCCTCCCAGTGTCTCAGAGCACCTGCCAAAAAAATACCCTCTACAGCTCAATGTGGCACATTAGCATGGAGGACACAGGATGAAGACCCGGCGCTGGTGGCCAGAAGAAGCCACCCTGCGATGAGATCAGGCCGATAATACTCAAGGAGCCTCTGGAGGAGGCCCGGGGGTTCCATGGAATGCTGGTTGAGAAGCTGGTCTGGTCCATACAAGATCCCCACACACGCCACCACGGACTGCCGTTCCCGGCATATAGGCCCCATTCACATGCGATAATCCGCACACTAGACTCCGGCACGCCGACATTGACAAGTTCATTTTTGATATTCGGAGGTCCCACCAATGAGGCGCTGGGCCCACAGAACCCATCGCATGTATTTCCAGCACTGACAAGCCTCTCCCCGTACACACACATCTGCTCACAGCTCCCTTCCCCCACTCAATAGTGCGAGCTCAGCAAAGGTCACCTTACAGGTCTGCAGTGCGCGCAGCACAGGGCCCTGTGTGAGTGGTGGGGGGAGGGGGGGCACGTAGGGGGAACACTTCAATCCCTACTGCACAGCCCACCACATATGGAAAGTGTTAGGTAATCCATCTGAAGACAACCCACCGGCTGGGGGCTCACAGAGACCCGGTCACCCCGCACCTTCTGGAGGAAGCCAAGACTTACACCGGGGATAGGCAACCTCGGCATCCCAGCAGGGGCAAAACTCCCATCATTGGCTGTCCTACAACGCCTGATGGGAATTCTAGTTCCCACAGCAGCGGAAGTGTCGAAGATGCCGATCCCCGGCATACACTTTGCCTGACACCAAGACCAACAAACCTCAAAGGTCACACCAAGATGGAAAAGGTGAGGTGACGTCATGTGACCCCCCCAATGACTCCGTCACCGCCATTGTTTCTATAACAGGTCCACTTTAAATTCTATTATAAACCCGATATTTTACACACGAAGGTCCATGACGGCGGCCGCCACCAACCCAGCGCCAGATCTGCACTCCACGCCTCCCCCAGACTGAAGATCGAGAGGCCTACTTGGTGGTATGGCAAAGTCCGGGGCCTAGAGGCTGCACACTGCATTGTGGGTGCACAGTACAGGATACGGGGAGGGGGTGCAGTGTAGGATATCGGGGTGTGCAGTGTAGGATACTGGGGGGGTGCAGTGTAGGATATTGGGGGGGTGCAGTGTAGGATATTGGGGGGGTGCACAGTGTAGCATATTGGGGCGGGGGGTGCACACTAGCAGGAAGTAGAGGACCAGAAGATTGGGTGGAGTCCTCATAAATTGCCCCCCTGGAGGTTTCACCCCCGTGACATTCCAGAGCGCCGAGGTTCTGGCCTCCAGAGAGTCCTCCCCGGGATGTGATGGGCGACGCGCGGCTCGCCGGGTGCACACGAAGGGTTAATAAGCCGAGGACGGCGGTGTCCAGGGGAGCCGCGGGGCCAGGAATGTACGAGGCGTCACACATGCGTAGAACACGCTGGGCGGGTACAGAAGACACGCCGGTTACACGGGATCCCCACCCCCGGCTGGAGCCGAGCGATAACCATCCCCCGGCTTAGTCATCCAGCTGACGACGGCACATTGTGTCACCCTCGCAGGGCCGGGGCCCATCACCATGGAGAACAGTCCAGACCATGTGACCCCCGAGCCAATCAGGGGCCCCTATATCCCCTCACCACCCATATACCAGAGATATCCCCTCCCCCCATATATACAGGGATTGTTAGAGACCACCGACCCCCCTCATACACTGTCCATAAACTGGAAGCCCCCCCACAGGAGGACCAGTTCCAGGTCAGGATGGGAGTTGTAGTACCTCCCCAGGGAGCTGGACTCTGCACATCCAGGACTACTCTAGGGACCCCTCACAGGCCAGGCTGGGGGTTGTAGTCCCACACAGGGAGGAAACATCTGAATTTGGAATCCTCCCGGGTCATCTTCCGGCACCCCTCCAACCATACTGAGAGTTGTAGTCCATCCACAACCAAGGAAGTAGGCCTTTCATCTGGGGGTTGTAGTCCATCAATACCCTAGAGATACTGCTTAACATAGGATGGACGTCACAATATGATAGTTGGCCATCTTCCCTGGTCACACTGGGGGTTGTAGTCCATCCACTTAAATCCATGAAGGAACGCCTTTAGTAGCAACGTGAGGATGGATGTTATAAACTCATCCCCAGCAACACTGGGAGTTGTAGTCCTTACAATGACATCTAAACAGTGTTGCAACATTCTGTCAGTAATACACACTGCCCCCTATCTGGCCATACTGGGAGTTGTAGTCCCTCCAATCATCCTCAGTAATACACACTGCCTTCTATCAGGCCACACTGGGAGTTGTAGTCCCTCCAAACATCCTCTCAGTAATACACATTGCCTCCTATCAGGCCACACTGGGAGTAGTAGTCTCCCCAGCCATCCGCTTGGTACTACACACTGCCTTCTATCAGGCCACACTGGGAGTAGTAGTCTCCCCAGCCATCCGCTTGGTACTACACACTGCCTTCTATCAGGCCACACTGGGAGTAGTAGTCTCCCCAGCCATCCGCTTGGTACTACACACTGCCTCCTATCAGGCCACACTGGGAGTAGTAGTCTCTCCAGCCATCCGCTTGATACTACACACTGCCTCCTATCAGGCCACACTGGGAGTAGTAGTCTCTCCAGCCATCCGCTTGGTACTACACACTGCCTCCTATCAGGCCACACTGGGAGTAGTAGTCTCTCCAGCCATCCGCTTGGTACTACACACTGCCCCCTATCAGGCCATACTGGGAGTTGTAGTCCCTCTGGGATAGGCCGGCCTATACACTATCACAATCCCAGCGGATCTTCGACGTCACAACCTGAGATCTCATGATCGGAGGTCTCCCCTCCCCCGGGGGCCACGTGCAGCACCGGAAGTGTCCGCCATCTTAAGAGGAGAGCTCTCCTTGCCCTCCCCCTACCGGCGGCCATCTTGTATCGCAACCCCCCTCCCCCACACTGGCTACGGCGCCCACGTGCAGCCGGGCGGAGGCCGCCATCAGAGCCCGGTAGGGGGGAGGAGCGACGTGCGGCAGTTTTCTCGGCGAGAAAATAAAAAAACCCGCCCGGGTGACATGATTGATGCTGG